CTTAAGTCAAGAAAGTTTAGGCCATGCAAAGTGTTGAAGAAAATCACTTCCAATGCATACATGTTGGAATTACCACTAGATTTGCACATTAGTCATATCTTTAATGTGTCTGACTTGTTTGTGCTGGAAGGAATTGATGGAGAAGCAATTCCAACTGAGGCTCAAGTTAAACAACTTCCAAAGGTGCAATCGGATTTTGTTGAAGATGTATTCGACGTCAAAGAGGTGAAATCAAGGAGAGGGAATCAATGTAAGTGATTCTTGGTGAAATGGTGGGGCAAACCCACTAGTGATAGCACTTGCATTGATCCAGAGTCTTATGCTGAAGTTGTGGAGACTTTCTCATCGGAGTCGAGTTTCTTCCACCCCAAAGGGTTTATGCCAGAACATCCAAGAGACATGTCAAGACCAAGCAGGCCCACGAATAGGCTTAACTTGAGCTCTAATTAGCAAATTTTCGAGTTATTTTTTATTAGCTACAATAATTTATGTTTTATATGAATCTTATAAACAGTATTTATGATCCTAGACTTTTTAAAATAGTCACTGTCATGTGAGTTTTTAAGTATGTTGGGAAGCTCAGATTAAAGAGTTGTTGAAGTGATCAAGGGCTAGGAATAGGATCCTATGATTGTTGTAACCCTAGTAATAATACATCTTATGAGTATTTGAAGTCAGTTTTTCTTAGTCTTATTCCACAAAATCAGAATTTATGTCTTTCGCCCTAGAAATTCATATATTGTTGTTCCATCTTTCGAACACATGTTTCTCAATTCTCACAAAAGTCCCTGCATTTTCATTTTTAGAAAAAAATTTAGTAGGAGAGCATTTTCATTTCAAGAACCTTAACTCCCATTGACTCATTATTTACTTCATTAATTGCTTCATTGCCAATATTGAGGTCTCTTTTAAAATTCAAACCCTTTTTAAAATTCCCATATCATAGGATTGCTCAGCATTAGCATCCTTAACTGGCTCATTAATAGACAATTTAACAGCCCACACTTTGATCACCAATGTAATAGGGTTTATACATACTCCGTGATACCATGACTTTCTGACTGTTACATATTCCCACTGTTCCTTCCCCTTCATCTTCTACCTTTTTTTTGGTGTATCAATTTGTTATGGTATATCCTCCATGAAGACTACTCCGACCACCATTAAGCCACCTACCCAATCTCAAAAAAATCCCTAATATTGTTTAGAAAATTTTTCCTATTGAAAATAACAACAAACGAAGTCTTAAGGAAGCCATTAGATGACCGTTGTATGTATATCCTCGCGTGAAACAAGTTTCAGTGATTCATTGTTTCATTATCAACCTCAATAAAGCACCCATAAGAATTCTCAATCTTCTTAAAAACTTCCATTTGCCATCTATGAAAAAGTAAACCTTCAATTGCAATCCACCCACCCATAAATGAACACTCTGCTTCGTGTTGCATTGGATACTTGTTTGCACCTCCATAATTTCACCCTAAGGGAACCTTGAAGAATATGATTTCACTCTTGCAAATTTCCTCTGCCTACTTGGTGCTCTCACAAAAGAAGATAGCCTTGTCTATTTGGAAAGGATTAAGTTCAACTTCAAACTCGAAAGCAATGGATAGAGCTCTCTTTGTCACATTCCATGGATAAAACAAAAATCTCTCAATGCCACACAACTACACTCACATTCTTTCACCAAAAATGGATGCTCCCATCCCCTACTTCTAGACCTTTAGAAACAATCAATCCCATCCTCTTGCTTAGTGAGCTTCCCAAATGCACCAAACCTACTTGATTCCATCTCCACCCACACAGAATAATATGGACTTCTTTATATATGCAAAAACACCCCTTATGTTTTCACAACACAGCCTTGTCAAAAGTTTTTCTCCGCCATGAGATGCAGTCTTTATTGAACACATAGGAAAAGGATCCTTTTATATTCCACTCAATAATTCAGAGGACTAGATCTACTCACTGGAATTCCCAACATAACTCAAGGAGAAGATTTTTGTTCAATTTTCAATTCCATCCCCAAGTTTTTTGCTCCATTAATAAAATCATAGACGGAACCAAAGAGGGGCCTAGGGGGGTCACCCCCCCTCCCCAACCCAATACTTTGTAGGAATGCTAGGTGTAGTCTACAGTACCCCAAAGTAAGCCCCAATTACATAGTGCATTGCCCCCCACTCAATGAAGAAATATGCTACTTGAAGTGTTGCACAACTACAAAGCCAGGAATGTCAATGTTATAAAATATATTCTAACTTGATCAAATAATATTTTGTGGTCATTACAAGTTTTTCTTAATAAATAAGAATGTAATAAAATAACATTGTATTCCAAAGTTTACCAAAAATCCAAACAAAATAATTAAAGAATTATTTATGCGATACAACTCTCAGTTAATAAGTCTTGGTAAAAAATATCCACTTTCCTAATATACCCCAAATCCCAAATAAAGTAACAAAAGAGTCCTAATTTATTAACAAAACAAAAACTAAAAACCTTAAACCATAGCAACAGAGAAGGAGTATACAAGTTAGAAGTCAAAGGAGCTTCAATAGACACTGATGCATGTGTTGAAGAACAAAATTAAAGGTGAAGAGAACCTCGAATCAAGTGGTTTTTTTGTGAATTAGTTAGTTTTCTCGGTTATTGACTATCATAGCAACAGAGAAGGAGTATACAAGTTAGAAGTCAAAGGAGCTTCAATAGACACTGATGCATGTGTTGAAGAACAAAATTAAAGGTGAAGAGAACCTCGAATCAAGTGGTTTTTTTGTGAATTAGTTAGTTTTCTCGGTTATTGACTATCAATTAATATTTTTGTTCTTTTGTTAATATTTTATATGTGGAGAAAGTGTATTACTTGTTTCTTTGTGCAATATACTTGGACATAATCTAGGATAATTTTTGGATAAAGTGTTTGTCTCATGTGAAGCAAATTAAATATAGGAAAAGATTATTTTTTATGTGTATTTTGACTAGATTTGTCTCTAATTGGGAATATAATTTAGGGATTTTTTTTTTATGCGAAAGACTGGAAATATGTGTATGTATTTTTTTTTATTCTTTAGGGTTGTGCAAGTTCATGAAATTATTAAATTGATGTCAAGGTGTTTTACACTTTTAGATGAGAACGCCTTATACAATTGATGCATTCTTCAAGAGAAAAAATGTCACAAACTCATAAGTTAACGAATCACTACCTTCCTCTAATATTGATTTTTTGAGAATAGAGTTTGTCCCCGTTCAGTCTCTGAATGAATACTTAGCATCTAAAAAATCCAAATGTCTAGAGAAATCCTTGAGTGTGTATATTCTCAATAATGGGAGGAATAGTTAGTTGGAAGCTATACTAATGTGGTAGGATTAGCATAGAGTATCAGCCTATATCGATATAAGTCGGCCGAATCGTATCTCACTCAATACCTTCCGAGGCGATACTATTATAGGATCCGTATAAACTTCGAGTTTCCCACGACTCGACCAAGTCGTCTGGACAATATCCCAATCAATCCTGAATCACTAAGTTATCGTCGTCAAATTGACCGATACGATTCTAAGACACCACGATATGACATAAATTTCTCGTTATATTTAATATTTTCTTGTAGGTCGCATCTTCCAATAACACACCGCGATCGATGTGTATCAGAGCTCTCTGAATCAATAACCGATATCGTGACCTTGAACCATGAGGATTAGAGGTATCTCTTGAGTAGTACAGGACGCGACCTCTAAGCCAAGTTGATCTCCTGCCATTTTTTACAATCCAAGTTCAACGCATACACTCCCCACCTCTGCCCAAAAAAAAATATTAAAATTCTTTAAGGTCTGTTTGGAAACCGAGAAATTGAAGGACAAGAACATGGAAAGTGACAGCAAAAAAAAAAAAATTAATTATTTAAGGTCTGCTTGGAAACCGAGAAATTGAAGGAAAAGAACATGGAAAGTGACAGCTGTTGGTAAAAATACTAACAGCTAATTTTCTCCTGGCAAAAAGTCTGTTCAACTAAACCTAGCACAGTATACGAGCAATCTTTGATGGGTTAAGCCCAAATAGTCCAATTTATGTGTTAAAGTCCAACCCCAGTTGAGGAGCCCAACCTCATTTTGATTCCACCAAGCCCAAGACAGTCCAAGACCGGTTAGACTTCTTGCTTAGCACGTCATCAAGAGGAGAGCACGGGAAGCTTATCTGCACCACCAAAGGAAACGGTCCAAATCCACCAAGTCCAAGACAGTCCAAAGCCGGTTAGACTTCTTGCTTAGCACGTCACCAAGAGGAGAGCACGGGAAGCTTATCTGCACCACCAAAGGAAACGGTCCAAATCCACCAAGTCCAAGACAGTCCAAGGCCGGTTAGACTTCTTGCTTAGCACGTCACCAAGAGGAGAGCACGAGAAGCTTATCTGTACCACCGAAGGAAACGGTCCTATCTTTGACCACGTTTCATGAAGAGCTCCCCAACCTCCTCCTTCCGTTGAGGATAAGTCGTGATCTCCACCAAGAATAATCTTTTAGCTGCGATAAAGAAGCCTTGAGGATATGTCATGATCTCCAGGAGGATGATCTCTTAGCTGCTATAAAATAGCTCCAATCTGGTAGAAGAAAAAAAGTCACGCTCCACCAGAGACTTACAGAGGACGAACCGACTACCGGAGATTACTATTTTCTTTGATTCTCCATTCTTTCTCTCAAAGCTTGTATCTCCATTCTCCATACCTTTGAATCAATAAAATACCCGGCAACTGAAGCCATTGAAGAGTGGACGTAGGTCGAATTGACCTAACCACTATAAATTGTGTCTTCTTTAATTCTTTCATTGATTTCACTGCAATTATTATCTACACTTGACAGGTGGTGTGCAAAACCATTTTTGTGCATCATCAATCTTAATGTAATTTCTTCCTTTTTCTTCTTATTTCTAACTAATTAAACATCGTTGTCGTAACTAATTTCATCATGTAAAATGCTTATACATGACTTTCCTATGAATATTTCTAGCATCCAAACACTGCCTCAGAATCAAAACAAGCAGTAAAATTAGTCAGAACCCATAACCCAACTCAAAATACAAAATCCAAAAACCAAAATTTTCCACGAAAATCAATTCAAAGTGAAGGAAAAACTGTACCCGAAGATGAAGGTGAATTGGAATTCTCGTGATTTTTCTTTCCCATAGCTTTCACTACAAAAGATTGATACACAGACGAAGAAGAAGCCTTCCTTTTCAAATCCTTCATCTCGAAAGCCCTCCCGTCTTCAACTCTGAAATAACCCATTTTTCTCAAGTTCCAGAAAATGGGTTTCTCGGGAATTGAATTCCTCAGTACAAAGGGGTTTGGATTGGTGTTCTTAACATGAACAGCCCAGAGATCCATAATGAACTCCCAATAATTTAATCACGTAATTCAATTGGAAATCTTTCGGTTGGAATTGTTATGGAAGACGAAAATTGCGAAACAGGAAAACTTCGTTTGAGAAAAGCTGCACCGCATAAGTGAAAATAACGAGACAAAGGGAGTGAGAGGAGGGGTGCAGCTCGTCATGCGGTTTAATGAAACGTGCAGTTTCGTTCTTTTTTTTTTTTTTTTTTACGACGTCATTTTTGTCCAGTCAAATCACCATCAACTCCCTCCCTTTTATTTTTCCCGCTTCTTCTTCGTCCATTCTAATTCTTCCGCCTTCTTCACAGCTCAAACTTCTCCATCTTCTTTTTCATCAGGTCTGGTTCTCCCATCTTCTCCATCTTCTTCTTCGTCAGGTGTGGTTCTCCAGCTCAAACTCTCCAGTCCAACATTTTCTTCTTTAAGTTTTTTAAAGTTTATAGGTAACAACTTAATAGAGACAAGAAAAAATTGCCAAGCTCATATATGTATATCTCTTAATAGAGAATTTGGTAAATTTCTTGTGGTGAAGTGGGATGACAACCACAATCATCCTTTGCATCTTGCTGAATGTATGCATATGATGTCATCTCAAAGGAAGGTTACCGCAACACAAGGCATTAATATTGATATGATAGCGGATTATGGATTGTCACTTAAGACTTTCCATGATCTTTTAAGTACTCAGTCTGGAGGAAAAGAAAGTCTTGATTTTACTCGTCAAGACCAAAAGAATTATCTTCGTGAAATGAGGCAACGAGACTTGAGGTATGGTGAGGCGGGTAGTTTGTTGAAGTATTTTCAAACGGAAGAAGTGAAAAATTCATCATTCTATTATGGAATGCAATTGGATGCGGAGGAGCATATTACTAATATTTTTTGGGCGGACTCAGTGATGATTATTGACTATGACAACTTTGGAGATGTTGTCTCATTTGACACTATTTTCAGAACAAATAAGGAGTATCGACCCTTTGCTTTTTTTACTGGCTTCAATCATTTTAGGGAGACAGTCTTATTTGAAGCTGTATTATTGTATGATGAAATAGCAGCATCATTTCAGTGGTTGTTTGAGACATTCCTACAAGCTATATCTGAGAAATATCCTATTACCATCTTCACCGACCAAGATCAAGCGATAGCAAAAGTATTTCTATAGTTATGCCAGAGACATACCATGAGTTATGTACTTGGCACCTTTGCCAAAATGCTTTGAAACATTTGGGGAACATATATAAGGATGGTTTACAATTTTTTGCTCGATTTAAAGAGTGTGTGTATGGATATGAGGAAGAGCATGAATTATTTGAGACTTGGAAATCGTTGCTTGCGGAATATAATTTGCATGATAATATGTGGATAAAAGCCACTTGGGCATTGTAAGAGAAATGGAATGATGTGTTACCCGCCGGAATAACGAGAATCAACAACGAAAAGAACCCAAGATCGTTTAACGAACAAATTTTATGGTAGACCTTGACCCGTTGTTTACAACAAACAAGAACCTTGGTATATAGACTTCAACCCATTGTTTGTGAAACAAGAACCTCGGTATAAAGGAAGATGCCACAAACGGTGTGGAAACCTGTTTGATAAGTCGTTGGTGAACGCCACGGAGAATTCCGATAAGTTCGTTTAGTTCTTCAAAGAACCAAAGAGAAAACACTCTCAAAATTTGCTGAATAATGATCTAAATTTTCATTAATCTGAATGCCTATTTATAGGCTGGTCATTACAAGGATTAGGAATCTTCCTTAAATAGCTATCCTACTTAGGAAATATCTCTTACTTGTGGGTAAAGAAATATCTCTTACTTTCCTAAGACTCTTGAAGAAAAAAGGAAAGACATTCAGCCCTTTAAATGGCTGAGCACATGCCTAAATAGAAAAAGGAAAGTACTTGGCATACAAGCCTTACAATTAGACCCCAAAAATAAAGAATGGTGCACGTATTGTAGCATGAACAGTGCACGCTACAGTAACTTTGAAAACCCTACTTCATAAGAAATAAAACATGTGGGCTAAGCATCCTCAAGCCCACTTATTAATAATTCTAATCCTTTAGACAAATTAGAAGCCTTAACAACAATAAACCAATTGAATCTTAGCCTAGCCCCTAGCTGGATTCTTCTAGAACTTGAATCATGTTGATGAATCTTTGTTGCCCAAGTGGATCATGGTCAATGGGCCTCCACAAATTTGCTTGATTCCATGCCTCTTGAATTAGTCCATTGAGTACCTCTTTAAACTTCCTTGCTCGTGCTCTCGTAACCGGCCCACTTGGAACTTGAACTAAATCCCTTGAAGTTGTGTTATGATTTGCATCATTCCCCTCCTCTTGAAAAGGATTTGCCCTCAAATCATCACCTACATCAAAAGGACTCAAATCAGTAACATTAAAAGTAGCACTTACATTGTACTCACCAGGTAAATCTAGCTTGTAGACGTTGTCATTGATGCGCTCCGGGACTTGGAAAGGACCATCTCCCCTTGGAAGCAATTTGGAACGTCTTTGCGCTGGAAATCTCTCTTTTCTCATATGCAGCCAAACCCAATCTCCGGGTTCAAAAATCAGCTTGTGACGTCCCTTGTTGGCTTGTTTTGCGTATTGCTCCGTTCTTCGCTCAATGTTGAGTCTTGCTTTCTCATGAATCTGCTTGACAAAGTCAGCTTTCTTCTTGCCATCTAAATTAATATGCTCAGTCAAAGGTAAAGGAGATAAATCCAATGGGGTTAAAGGATTAAATCCATACACAATTTCAAATGGTGAAAATTAGTAGCAGAATGAATGGATCGGTTATAAGCAAACTCAACATGTGGTAAACATTCTTTCCATGTTTTGATGTTCTTTTTAATGATTGCCCTCAATAAAGTAGACAAGGTCCTATTTACTACTTCAGTTTGACCATCAGTTTGGGGATGACAAGTAGTAGAAAACATTAGCTTAGTACCTAGCTTACACCACAAAGTCTTCCAAAAATAGCTCAGGAACTTAGCATCTCGATCCGAAACAATTGTTCTAGGCATGCCATGTAATCTCACAATCTCTCTAAAGAACAAGTCAGCAACATGCGAAGCATCATCCGTTTTGTGACATGGAATGAAGTGTGCCATCTTAGAGAATCTATCCACAACCACAAAAATTGAATCTCTCCCACGCTTAGTCCTAGGCAATCCTAACACAAAGTCCATTGAAATATCAATCCATGGCTCACTAGGAATTGGTAAAGGAGTATACAAACCATTGGGTTGCACTCTGGATTTAGCTTGCCTACATGTGATACATCTACCACAAATTCTCTCAACATCTCTTTTCATGTGAGGCCAATAGAAGTGTTCTTGCAATACAGCTAAAGTCTTTGCAACCCCAAAATGTCCCATTAATCCCCCACCATGAGATTCCTGCATTAACAACTCCCTCAAGGAACAATTAGGCACGCATAACTTATTCTCTCGAAATAGAAATCCATCAAGCCTAAAGAACTTACCACTACCGGTTTTCTCACAAGCCCGGTATTCCTCACAAAATTCATGATCATCAACGTATAAATTTTTAATGTGCTCAAAACCAAGGAATTTTGCATCAAGTATAGAGAGTAATGCATACCTGCGAGAAAGTGCATCGGCAACCACATTCTCCTTACCTTGCTTATACCGGATGACGTATGGGAACGTTTCAATGTACTCCACCCATCGTGCATGCCTTTTATTTAGCTTGTGCTGGCCCTTCAAGTGTTTCAAGGACTCATGATCGGTGTGAATCACGAATTCCTTAGGCCATAGGTAGTGTTGCCAAGTCTCTAAAGCTCGAACCAATGCATACAACTCCTTATCGTAAGTTGAGTACTTTAAGGCTGCCCCGCTTAGTTTCTCGCTGAAGTAAGCAATTGGTCGTCCTTCCTGCATAAGCACTGCTCCTATGCCAATACCTGAAGCATCACATTCAATCTCAAATTTTCAAAAAGTTAGGTAAAGACAATAAGGGGGCGTTAGTTAGCTTCTCTTTGATTAATTGAAACGCCTTTTCTTGTTCTTCACCCCATCTAAATCCAACGTTCTTCTTGATCACTTCGGTAAGTGGTGCGGCTATGCTACTAAAGTCCTTCACAAACCGCCGATAGAAACTAGCAAGTCCATGAAAACTACGAACATTACTTACACTTGTGGGACTCGGCCATTCTTGGATTGCACGTACCTTCTCTTCGTCAACCTGTATACCTTGTGCACTAACAACATAACCCAGAAATACAAGCTTATCGGTATAAAAAGTACACTTCTTTAGATTAGCAAACAACTTTTCTTTCCTAAGCACATCTAAAACAGATTTCAAATGTATTACATGATCGTCCATGTTTTTGCTATAAATGAGTATATCATCAAAGTAGACAACAACAAATCTGCCTATAAATTCACGCAAAACATGATTCATAAGTCTCATAAAGGTGCTCGGAGCGTTAGTCAATCCAAAGGGCATAACTAACCATTCATACAAACCATATTTTGTTTTAAAGGCTGTTTTCCATTCATCTCCTTCTTTTATTCTAATCTGATGATAACCACTCTTTAAGTCAATCTTAGAAAATACACAAGATCCATGCAGCTCATCTAACATATCATCTAAGCGAGGAATAGGATGACGATACTTTACCGTTATGTTGTTGATGGCCCGGCAATCGGCGCACATTCTCCACGTCCCATCCTTCTTAGGTACAATTAAAACTGGAACAACACATGGGCTCATGCTCTCCCTCACATGCCCTTTCTCCAACAACTCACTTACCTGCCGTTGAAGCTCCTTTGTCTCCTCGGGATTGCTCCTATAGGCTGGTCGGTTTGGAATTGTTGCACCGGGAACAAAATCAATTTGATGTTCAATCCCTCGGATTGGAGGTAACCCATGTGGTGTTTCCTCTGGAAAGACATCCTCATACTCCTGCAAAAGAGAAACAACAGAACTAGGCAAAGCAAGGTCAAGTTCGTTAGTGTTTAAAAGTGCCTCTTTGTACAAAAGTACAATCATCGGCTGATTTGAAAACATGGCTCTCTTAATCTCACTCACTTTTGCATAGAAATTCTTTTGTTTCCTCTCTGATTTTTTTTCAATGGCCGCATTTTGATTTTCTTT